AGGGCACAAAGTGGTAACCTTACAGCACGAGAAACACCATGATTACCACGCAGGATACACAGTGATAACCATGTGGCACAGGGCACAAAGTGGTAACCTTACAGCACGAGAAACACCATGATAACCACGCAGGATACACAGTGATAACCATGTGGCACAGGGCACAAAGTGGTAACCTTACAGCACGAGAAACACCATGATAACCACGCAGGATACACAGTGATAACCATGTGGCACAGGGCACATAAGTAATGACTATGTAGCACTGGATATATATATAGTGATAACCATATAGCACAGGAAACACCATGATAACCATGGAGCATAGGACACACAGTGATAACCATGCAGCAAAGAACACATGGTGATAACCATGGAGCACAGGACACGTAGTGAGAACCACTCTGCTAAAATAGGAGTAAGCCTATATTTAGGCTTTTTTATTGTTTTGCAATGACATTAAGTATAAAGGATACTTCATCTTGGAAATTCTGAATCCACGATCTGAACACGTCTTTAAGATCTGGGGATGTAAATATTTTGCATCAGAAACGACTGTTACATAGTCTTCACAGATGTGACCAGTTTTAGTTAGCAACTCACTACCTCTGATATGTTAAACAGTATCAAAATATAGTTCTGATACATTCTATTCCACCCTGACTGTGGTTGTTACTTTACTTGCTGATTTACATATTCAAAATAATTTAAATAAAATGCACTCAAACCCCTGAATGATCAAAGATCTTGTTAGGTGGGGTATTCCTTGTTAATTCTATCGTTTGTAAGCTGTTGGTGGAGTGTTTGCAGTATTTCAGAGGTTGGAACATTGAAGCTGATCATTATGTCATGGTTGCTTTTATAATATCTCTACAAGACAAACCGAGTTTTAGCATGTGAGGGTATTAACATGTTAATGGTGGCACTATATACAAAACATATCTAGCAGTTAGTTAACAATGGTACCCTTGTTCGTACGTTTTTAGTAAATCACAGATGCTACACACACACACCCATATTCTCCTATATCAAAGGTATCTCTTCAAAACATACAGAGAATACGTAAACAGCAAAAAGTTGGAACAGTATTCAGAAGCCACAACACGATCACATTAATACACAATAAAACACCCTAAAGACCTAATGGAAAGAAAAAATAAAATTTAAATCATCCATCATGAAAGTGGATTCCAATACATTATAGAGAAACAAAAGAGACCAAAATTAGAATTTGTTTGTTAGCTATATGAGGGCTGTTTGTGTGAGCCATCCCTAATTTAGCAGTGATAGACTAGAAGGAAGGTAGTTAATCAACATTTCCACCTCTAACTCATGGGCAACTCTTTTAACAAAGAATAGTGGGATTGACCATCACATTATAATGGCTGAAATGGCGACCACGTTCGGTGTGACGGGAATTCAAACCCACAATCCCCAGACTGTACTTCGAGTGCCCTAACCACCAGGCAAAAATTAGAATTCAGGAGCACGATAGACATACAAGATTCAGTAATACACATATCAATCTACAATAGCCCATAATTCATGCCAAAATTGGAATACTAGTAAAATACTGGGAGATGAGCCATACAAACAGAAAAAGAAAGATGGAGGAAGTTTTTTTTTACACTAACTGATAACACACTGAGTCATCCTAACATAGAAGTCGGCAAAATCTTTATATACTTCTTAAAAGCATTCATATAATTTAGGGGAGGCCCGAGTCCAAGTAGATAGCACAGCGGATTTTCTATCTTCCTCAAGACCAAGCCTCTACCACCACAGAAACAGTCATTCTCTGGACTTCCTTGAAAATGGGAGTAGGAACTGGTCTTCCTTGAAAATGGGAGTAGGAATGTAGGATGAAACTAGTTAATAATGAGTGATTAATAAAACAAATAATTAATAATTAGACTTAGGTGTTTGTATAAACTTCTAACCACCACAATAAGAAGCCACTTTGTGTTTCTATTTTTGTAGTTAAAGCTAAAATATAATTACACATAGTTCCTCAGTTATAATGATTACAAACCGATTGTGTATTTTTATTCACACATAGCTCTTCAGTTATAATGTTTACAAACTGATTGTGTATTTTTATTACACATAGCTCCTCAGTTATAATGATTACAAACTGATTGTGTATTTTTATTAAAACTGATTATGTATTTTTATTACACATAGCTCCTCAGCTATAATGTTTACAAACTGATTGTGTATTTTTATTACACATAGCTCCTCAGCTATAATGATTACAAACTGATTGTGTATTTTTATCACACATAGCTCCTCAGCTATAATGATTACAAACCGATTGTGTATTTTTATTACACATAGCTCCTCAGCTATAATGACTACAAACTGATTGTGTATTTTTATTACACATAGCTCCTCACTACTATATTATGAGTATAAAACACAACAACTGATGTTTTTTGGTACAACGAGAGGTAAAATCTTAATTATTAGTTATAGCCGACTAGGTTTGGTAACACAGTTATCATCATCAATGTTTTAGATGCTAGTTGGCTGTAACTAGTAATACTGATTTTACCTTTCATCGTGCCAAAAAACTTGGTTAGTGTTTTTTTTTAGTTAACCGATACTTACAATATATCTGTTCTCTGAGCAATACCTCTAATGAAGGTTAACAAAAATATTCAGTGTTCTTTTTATGTAAATATAACAAACTTACAGGATACATGTTAGAGTTCTTACATCCTACATAAGTACTTCATAATCAAATTTTTTATGTTTATTTTGTGCAACTGGAAAAATATCCAGGTAACGAATCCTTCTACTGCATTGCTACTGTAGTGCCCCCACGGTAAGTTTTTTTTATAGTATTATTTTCATTTGTCTTAAACATGCTAAATGTACAGAAGTATCAGTTTGTAAGACAAACGTTTCACATGTTTATCATATGGTTTATTAAAAATACTTTTGTAAAGAGGGTTTTATTCCAAATCACTGAAAACTGACTAAGGTAATAATATTTTAAAATATCAATCTTTATAGAAAATGTAAACGCTCTCCAGTGAATGACTTTTTGAGTCAAATGGAAATCTTTAAGTTGAATAGATGATAAAAATAACTGGTATTTGTATTAAAAACAGAAACCTAAGTGCACGGGTAGGGGTCGAAGTGCACGTGTCACAAACTTTTACAGAGTGCCAGTCAACATGTTATTACGTATTTGATGTCAGAGTTATGAACTATTCATTTTACCCTACGTGGCTTATTTAGCGACAGTTCATGGTAGATGAGAATAAATACCAGTCGCAGTATAGAGGGATTCAAAGAAAAAACAATTGTAGATATGGATTTTGGAGATTCTAGAGGTTATGCAAATGCAATACACAAACTGTATGATGGACAAAAGTATATTTATTCTTCACATGAACATCAACTTGCACTCCGACTTGTCAAGAGTCTGAGCCGGACTCGTATTGTCAATTCATGGACTCATCTTGAGTACAAGTATGTTTGTTTCACAATCCAATTTTTTGTGTACAAAACAAACTTGTATATTTTAGTAGAAGCTTTCCACTTTTTCTGGAAATGAAACATGTGGATCTTGGATCGGCCTTTCCCGGTCATCTACAAACCAATTAAAGAAGGTGGTCTTATTCGTCAGTGAGTTATTGCCAATCATCATCATCTACACACACAGTGAATTTGGACTTATAAGTCAACATTTCTACTCCAATACAAGGTTGGTCCAATGGACTGAGCCTGTGCACGTTTGGTTAATGGAAACTAACATTTAATTGAGAAGTAGTTGGACTTACACCAGTTTCTGAATCACCTATGTCTTCCACCTCGACATCATATGAACCTTCCAGGGATTCTGGGTGTTGTTCAACACGCTGAGCCCCTTCTAATGCTCTTGGGTTAGTAGGGTCCATGCTAAACCAAACAAATAAAAGAGTATAAAGCTAATCTTGAAAATTATATTCCAAAAGCAATAAAAAGCCTCAACTTATTTTATTTGGTAACAAAAGTTCAGTGGAAATTACTTGAAATTCTGAATCCGTAAGCTGAAAAGAAAGAATTAATGTTCCATAAGATGTAACAAAAATGATTATACAAGACCATGTAAAAAAACTGAAGAAACCTATTTAGGCTCTACAATTCAAAAGTTATCCTCATACCTTCAAGTTTCCTAATTCTTTCCACAAATACACTCCAGCTTGGGGATCCAAGACGTTAGAATACATTTTGTGCTACCTCATAGATAAAGAAACTGGATTTTTCTAGCATATTTATTGTTGATACCTCCACAAGTAAGCAACACAGCATTGATACGAATCTAAGTTCTAAATGAGAAGTTTAAACATTTCATACAAATATTTATCAAACTATTAACCTTCATAAAATAGAATGTGCTTCAGATGCAGACTGTGTCATCATTATCCGTGCATAAATACACATCTAAATTATAACAATTAATCTTTTTATCTGCTACACAACTCTTTAATCCATATTCTCCTGGTCTTAATTATACTGTATGTATGAATATCCTTGTGTTATACTCCCAACTGTTAGATCAGTATTAGAAGTAAAAAAATAAAAAACGGAAGCTTACTTCAGAGCTATACTAAAGTGGTGGAGGGCCTTCTCGTGTTCATTGATCTTCGAAAGAAAGTCACCCAACAACTGGTGCAACCTACAGGTACTCTGTAATTCTGCTTGCTTCTTTAACCTGCAATTACAGCTTTTTTTTTATAAGTTTTGTCGAGCAATTATGCTTTAACAAAACAACAAATGGACATTCTAACAGTACAACTTACTTACTAACCTATTATTTAACTTCAGGAAATACAGAATATTACTTACAGTTCTATTCCCTTCTGATATTGTCTCTCTTGCTCGTAGATTTCAACAATCTGATAGACTGCATCCAGATAAATAGGATCTTGTTTCAGGGCTTTTTCCAGTAATGTTTTGGCCTAGTAATATCCAAGAATTAAGATATTTATACATTTATGAACAATTACAGATGTAAGGGTAATAAATAATAGTGCTTCTAACTTTGCGACTTTATAAAAATACAACTCCAGCCTTTTATAACATAATTAAAAAAAAACTTTATAAATTAAGCCTTTTTATAAGCAGTACAAAAAGATCTTACCTTTTCAACAGAAAGTGTATCTTTGGCCAAAACTGAGGCGTAAAGCTGAAAATGAAATGAAAAATCAGTTGTATTGTTTCAGAATTTTGTTTACACTGACTTATAGATGAGAATTCAAAACGTACAACTTAGAAGACTGGTGTCTTTCAGAAAGAAATATTGAATAAGCTTAATAGATAGATTAGTTCTAAATGAAGAAACACGTAGTTAAAGTTTCATTTAGATATATGTGATGAAAACGTAGGTTTAACTCTGGAGATCTTGTGGTGGGCATCATTGTTTTATGGGGTATTCCTTTAAAGGATTCTGAGGAGGACATGTTTACTTTTTCAGTTTCGTTGAGCCATGAACATGTCCAGTAGATGGGCAGATTTTAAAATTTTACTTGAATGAAATCTACCTGTGGTTAAACGTAAATAGGCAAAGTCAGTTCTGCTCGTTCAAGGTTAATTAGTCTGATGACTAGCTGTTTTTGTAACCTTGGTTTTTGTGTTTGTAAAACGAAAAAAATAAAATAAACATCTTTTGAAGATGAATAAACAATGCACAGTGAATCTGACAATCTGTAGCTTCATTCCGAGCTACAAATAAATACTGTACTATAGTTTAAATGCTCATAATTGTCACTCATTTTGTAAAAAAAAAAACAATTCAGCTTCTCTTAAGCAACTAAAAAGAAATCCTCTATCACGATGTCTTGGTAAATGAGGTATTTTTCAGTTGCCCGAGAGAAGCTGAACTTCTTTTCAGAAGTTTGAGAAATACTCAAATCATCATCAAATACCTTTTCAAAGAATTGTTTAATTTAATCATTAGTTGGTTGTTAGCTTCAAAGCGAATAAAAAAACAAATTTACAGGTTCCTAAACGTGATGTAATAAAATGATACATACAGAGGAGCATGAAGCTACCAAAACTTTGTATGTTTAGAGAGATGGAAGCCACAAGTTGTAACTGACAGTGTATGAAATAAAAGATAAATAAAGCTGTACAAAAGTAGATTGATATATATGTCTCCATTGTTGTACACAGAAATCTAATCTAACAATTGGGAGTGTTACACAAGTACTTTACGCTTACAGTATAATTAAGATCAGGAGACAGTAGATTATCTCTGTGTATATGGGCTCAGTCCAATGAACCCGAGTCCGTACTGGAGAATTAACAATTACTATATATCCAAATTCACCAAGTGTTGAAAACATGTACACAAAAAAAATTAAACGTTTTTAAATAAAGTATTTCTTCTATAGATTTGCTTGAGAATTTACTGAGTCAGTCTGTGTGAAAAGTGAATTTCATGACAGGAATAAAAATATTTTCATTTTAAAGTTTCATATTTCAATTGCATAACCTCTAGAACCTCCTAAATGAATGTTAAAATTTTTTTTTCAGTAACATTGTATATTTTATCTGTAGATTTGTCTATAGAAAAGCATACTTTAGAGACATTATTTTCAAGTATAACAAAAACAATGGTTGAAAAACATGAATTGTAGTAACACATTTCTTTCCTTTCCAATATTAACTGTGAAGTTACAAATTAAGTTTATTCACAGTTTAAATCTTCATTCTTTTATTAAACATGTTTTCAGTTTATATTTTGCTGACTTGGCAAATAAAGCAATAAATCAAAGTATTAGCTATTACATTTGTAAATCCAAGCAACAATGCTCTCAAAAGCAAGCAAACGTGTGAAGCCCTTAATTATATCTCTGTTAGATACTGTTGACTTGGTATTAGTTTGAATTTTTAATTAGTTAGATACTGTTGACGTTGTGCAAGTTTGAATTTTTAATTAGTTAGATGTTGTTGACGTTGTATTAATTTGAATTTTTAATTAGTTAGATACTGTTGACGTTGTATAAGTTTGAATTTTTAATTAGTTAGATGTTGTTGATATTGTATTAGTTTGAATTTTTAATTAGTTAGATACTGTTGACGTTGTATAAGTTTGAATTTTTAATTAGTTAGATGTTGTTGACATTGTATAAGTTTGAATTTTTAATTAGTTAGATGTTGTTGACATTGTATAAGTTTGAATTTTTAATTAGTTAGATGTTGTTGATGTTGTATAAGTTTGAATTTTTAATTACTTAGATACTGTTGACGTTGTATAAGTTAGAATTTTTAATTAGTTAGATGTTGTTGACATTGTATAAGTTTGAATTTTTAATTAGTTAGATGTTGTTGACGTTGTATATGTTTGAATTTTTAATTAGTTAGATGCTGTTGACATTGTACAAGTTTGAATTTTGAATTAGTTAGATACTGTTGACGTTGTACAAGTTTGAATTTTTAATTAGTTAGATACTGTTGACGTTGTATAAGTTTGAATTTTTAATTAGTTAGATACTGTTGACGTTGTAGTATAAGTTTGAATTTTTAATTAGTTAGATACTGTTTACATTGTATTAGTTTGAATTTTTAATTAGTTAGATACTGTTGATGTTGTATAAGTTTGAATTTTTAATTAGTTAGATGCTGTTGACGTTGTATAAGTTTGAATTTTTAATTATTTAGATGCTGTTGACATTGTATAAGTTTGAATTTTTAATTAGTTAGATGTTGTTGACGTTGTATGTTGGAACAACTTTATATATATTGGATGTGTCATGACATTATAGTAAATTTTTTTAATATTTTCTTTTGAATTAAGAAATTAAATCTTATAAAGTATTAAAATTTGATTTTATAACTACGTTTTGATGCCAAGTTTATCGACATACACTGATAATAAAGTAGTTTAATTAAATTTTGAATGTTACTCTATGAAAAGTCACGACATGTGTATTTTAACTTCACTCATGCACACAGGGTTAAACTCTTGTGTAGCACAAAAAGTTTGATATTGTAAATCAAAGTTGTTTGGTTGAAAGGATAATAATAATAATGTTTCATCAGTACGCCCCCCCCCCAAAAAAAAAATCTTTTGATACTCACTTAGAAGGTTCTAAAAGTTATGTAAATGAAATATGAAAACCGAAAGATGAGAAGAAAAATTTTTATTCTTGGTATGAAAAAATAACCTTTCACTAAGACAATTCAGGAAAGGCTTCAGAAAGTTACATACAAAACTTTAGTGCACAACAAACTCGTAGCATTATTAAAAGCTTACCAAATTTAGTGAATTCACACTTAGTAAATTCTATTACTGTACAAATTAGTATGTATAGGTTCACGATTCCAGGGTCGATCAATTTGACTGAGTTCATGAACAGATGGTTAAGTGTGATTTTGGAAAAAAGAGGTTAAACAACTAAGGAAAGAATCCATTACAAAGAATTTTAGTGTTACTGTCTCTGTGTTCGTTTATATAGATACTCTAAAACACACATAGTTTTAGGCCAGTAATACTATAACTATATTTTCAAAAATATTTATGGTTTCATAAAAATTTCATTACAAAATAACTTACACAAAGAGCTCGAGGTGTCTGTCCCAACTGCTTGCAACAATTACTGGCATAAACTATCGCTTCCCGATTTCTCCCTAAGGCCATATAGCCATCAACCAGCCCTAAAAGAAGCATTTGTCTGATGAAATAAGAATAATGAAATGAAGAAAACATTTATATTTGAAAAATACACAGTGTGTCTGAACTTAGAATTGTTACATCAGTAGTATATAACCCATGAGAATTTAATTCATGGTAGTTTATAAGCAAATAAATAAACCAGCAAGAACATCTGTTGTACTTGTTTTAATGCAACAGACATAGGTTAGTTATCTGTCTTGCAAAAGAAATGAGAGAAAGAGAGAAAAAATAGAAATTAATAACTAAAAAGTTTAACTCAATATTTCTCTAATTTTATACAAATACAGGTTCACTGTGGTGAGTAAAAGACAGCTAAGAAAAACACAAATATATCACTACAAATGATGGGTGGAATTTCTTGAAACAAGTATAACTAAGTGACAACTGATGGATGATAACACAGGCCTGTGAAGTTAAACTTCATAAAAGCTGTTTTGGTTTTAATAATGGATTTTCCATAATTCAGGTACACAGATTTCGAAAACAATATTCATTTCTTTTCTATCACGTAAGGATTTTTTATAAATCGGGGGAAAAAAAAACTCGTACTTAGATTAAATTTACCCCAAATATAACAGAATATGTTTGGGTCATTTACACAACCTCTAGTTACCATAGTGATGAATAAATAATAATAATAAAAAGAAATAATAATGTCAATGTGCACACACAAACAAATACTATCCAGAAATGACACATCATGTGGTCTGTTAACTGTTTATATACTAGCGGTGTGTTTCTCATGGGTTCTAGAACAATTGATGAGACTCATGTCATGATTGGTCCAAGAAAAATCTATAGTCAGTGGTTGTCAACATTTTAAGCATAACAAAATGTGACTCGATTTCAATGAAAACGATTCACTTATGTAAAAGTACATATGACGTTTTGTGAAAAATCTGTACGTGATGGAGAAAAATGGATATCACTTTCGGGTTCAGTGTACATGAATTACTATAGAACATGTTAATATTTCAAGACAATACAACCATCGCAGGCCTGTGTAATCTGTGTTTCACAGTTAGTTTTAGATTCAATCAATATTATCATATCCTGTAAACCTGTATCTCATTTTGACAGAAACCTTCATAAATCACTGGTTTTTGTGCACAAGGAAAAGAAAATAACTATCAAAAACATTCGCTTAAAACCAATTAGTCAGGTAGAGTTTGTGATTTCACAAAAAGCAAGGGAAGAAAATTTTCCTAAACTCTGAATTCAGTACTAAACCAGTCTCTTACGTAACTTGAAACTTTAGAATACAAAATAAATCACAAGTTTTGATGTTGAGAATGTTACCAAAGCACAAATACCTTTGTGAGCTTCAAATCTGTACGGAGCTATCTTATAAGCTTCTTTAAAGTGAACTAAGGCATCTTGCACTCTCTTCAGCTCCATCAGGATAAACCCTTTCAACAGCAAAGCTTCGATGTTCCGAGGACTGATCAAGCAGGCCTAGAAGTACGGAAGTTTTCATAAAGCCGATTACGAGATTTCAGGAAAACAAATCACACACATTACTTATCCACTATTTGGTCGACATTACTTTATTGATTTGTCAGTATATAATAGTTTTTTTACTTTAGAGATACTGTTTCATCAGATATTAATACCTATTTGAAAATATTAAGCCAATGCATTATTACAGTAGGACAGACAAAATAATAAAGACAACGGTTTTCAACGTAATGAACTTACATAGTGGTACATTTAAAGCTCAATACACCAAACTGGTAACAAAAAATAAGCAAACTTATTTCAAACAATTTTGAAAATGCCATTTTTAGAAAAAAGCTTTAATTGAACGACAACCTGAACTGCTATAAGTAATTCAGATCAAAGAAAGAACTTACGAACACAAACTTCCAAGTTTTAACTTACTTTCTGAGCAAAGTAAACTCCTCTCGTTCCCTTTTTTGTGGCATGACAAAAGTATGCCATTGCAATCCACGGTTCTGGAGCAACATCACTGACACTCATAAGTTGAGAAGATAAGCTGGTGGAAAATAGCAATAATGTTTCATATTTTTCTAGATCTGCAGTTATTCTTGCATTAATGCATTGAATGGAGTAATAAAACCACTCAAGAAAGAAACTCAAGTGAAAAACAAACCATGAGACATTATATTTTCAAGGGATGATAGCTTCTTAGCAAGAATAAACTTACACTTTGTGATGGGCATAAAAACTAAAAAAAAATGAATGAATGCACTGTTTATAGGCAAGACTCGGAAATGAAAATTGGACCCTTTTTTTATTTTTCTTTGCAAATTACACTGGATATCTTTGAATGATAAAGCAAAAGTTCTAAAAATTTTTAAAGTAAATATATGTTAAACAGAACTACAAAATACTTAAAATTTGAAACGTACATCTGAAAGATGCACAAACACTGGTTCAGGTACGATTAAAAGGGTAAACTTTGATGACAAAGAACCCACTTTTTGGAAATAAAAGTTTGGAGACGGCTTGACTTGGTAATGAAAAAAAACTTTATTGTAAATGTACGATGTTTCGACAATATTATGTCATCCTCCAGATCGTACATTTACAATAAAGTTTTTTTTTTTTTTTCTATTATCCAGTCAAGCCATCTCCAAACTTTTATTCAAATGGTAAAAGAGAGGTGTCGATAGATGGTTAAATTTTATAAAAATGTATCACATTGTGTCAAACATGATTTTACTCAAAAAATCAAGCAGACTCCAAGAAATATCATTAGTTTTTAATATACAAAGGAACAACAAATAAATAATAAAATCTTTCAATGTACAGGACAAATGAGAAGTTACACTATATAAACTATGCAAGTACATAGACAAAGTCAATCAATGAGTAATAATAATTATGAAGCTTTCCCCTTCTTGGCAAGGAAGAATTACAGATACATTACCTAGTAATCTGTTAATCTAACTATTAAGCAAAAGGAACTTAAAATACTTACTTTTCCAGTTCCTTAAGTTTCTTTTCTCTTGCCAGAACTGCAGCAAATAAATCCATACCTCTTAGCCCTAGAGGGTCGAGAGTGTGTGCCTGCAGCAAATGTTGAAAAAAAGGAAAAAAGTTAAAACAAGCAATGAAAATTAGCATAATAAAACCATGACAATAGGTTAAACATCAACAGAAACATAGAGACAACTTTACAAGGACTAAAAGGTAATTAAAAAAGGATGGGATTGACCACAGGTGATCCCAAAAGAGGAGTTAAAAAACAACAACATTTGTCTGAAAGAATCATTTATCAACTCCATTGGATTGAAAGAGAAGAGCAGACAAAATGTGACTGAATGATACGATAACTCTGGTGTATTCAAACAGAAGGATTAAAAAACAGTTACCTGAAAGAAACAAACACTAACAGACTGAAACAGAAGAGTGATATGAAATATGTCTGAAACAAATGTACATTAACTTGGTAAACTAAAAAAAAGGATAACAATCATATGTCTAAATGAGTCACGTATTAACCCTACTGGATTCAAAGGAAATGATGTATTTTTGTGCCTGAAACAAGTACGTGTTAACTTTGATAGATTCGAAGAGAACGGTAAGAAATTTTTTCTCAAAACAAGTACGAGTTGACTTTAGTTGATACAAAGAAAGTGATAAAAATATGTCTGAAAAAAACTTCCACTAACTCTAGTGGATTCAAAGGGTAAAAAAACTGGATCACCGGCAGCATAAAAAATTCAAAAAGTATGTGCCTGAAATAAACAATTATGAATAAAAAAAAACACATTTATTGGGCTTTCATCATATGATAAGGTTTCTGTTTAACTGCAAGTTTTTAGGTGAGAGAAAAGGTTTAGCGAGGATGAGTTAAGACTAGCAAACCCTATTATTGAGTCATTAAAGAAAAGAAAGATGAAACAGATCAAAAGAAGTAAGACACATTTTAAACAAGAAAAAATTAACTAGTCTTAGAGAAGCAAGAGTATGATCTGAAGCAAACAAAGCTGAAAGATTAGAGGACTGAGAGCATATACTTAACACAAACAGACTTGGTTTCCTAAGTTTAAGGTATTGAAGTAAGCATGAGTATGAGGCAAACAAAGTTGAAAGATTATAGGACTGAGAGCATATACTTAACACAAACAGACTTGGTTTCCTAAGTTTAAGGTATTGAAGTAAGCATGAATATGAGGCAAACAAAGCTCAAAGATTAGAGGACTGAGAGAATGTACTTAACACAAACAGACTTGGTTTCCTAAGTTTAAGGTATTGAAGTAAGCATGAGTATGAGGCAAACAAAGCTGAAAGATTAGAGGACTGAGAGCATATACTTAACACAAACAGACTTGGTTTCCTAAGTTTAAGGTACTGAAGTAAGCATGAGTATGAGGCAAACAAAGCTCAAAGATTAGAGGACTGAGAGCATATACTTAACACAAACAGACTTGGTTTCCTAAGTTTAAGGTATTAAAGTAAGCATGAGCATGAGGCAAACAAAGCTCAAAGATTAGAGGACTGAGAGCATATACTTAACACAAACAGACTTGGTTTCCTAAAGTTTAAGGTATCGAAGTAAGCATGAATATGAGGCAAACAAAGCTGAAAGATTAGAGGACTGAGAGCATATACTTAACACAAACAGATTTGGTTTCCTAAGTTTAAGGTATTAAAGTAAGCATGAGCATGAGGCAAACAAAGCTCAAAGATTAGAGGACTTAGAGCATATACTTAACACAAACAGATTTGGTTTCCTAAGTTTAAGGAACTGAAGTAAGCATG